CCTTTTCTGTTGGATGCTCCTATCATTCAGAATTTTTGAAGCAGTTCTGTTTCTGGTTATTCCAGTACTGTAATGCTTGTGACTCTGTGGTCCTGTTTCTGGTTAGGTCAGTGCAATACTGATTGTAGCACTACGGTCGTCCTGCTTCTGGTTACCTTCATACAGTACTAACCATGGCACTGTGGTCTTGTTTCTGGTTACGTCAGAACAGTAGTGATTGTGGGGCTGTGGTTACTTTTCTGTTACATCAGTACAGTACTGATTTTTGCACTGCAGTTAGGTTTCTGGTTAAGCCAGTAATTGTGGCTCTGCCATCCTGTTTCTCGTCATAGCAGTATAGTACTGATCATTGCATTGCTGTCCTGTTACTGGTCAGACAAGTACAGTACTGATCAAGGTGCTGCCTTCCAGTTACTGATTACATAATTACTGTATCAATTGTGTCCTTGTGACATTTCTAGATATGTCAATCTGGCACTGATCATGTCTCTGTGCATGTTTCTGCTTATAGTACTGATTGTGTCTCGGCTGTCTGTGTCCTAGCGAAGGAAATCCACCCTCATTTGTCTTATTAACCATTGACACTCCTGGATAGAAATTCCCAAATTTTATAGTTGTCACCATCACAGGAATACTTCCATTGGGGACACCAGTTCTGATAACAACCGTTAAACCTGGGACTTCTCCACCTTGTGGACTCATCCTTGTTATGTTTATTGGACAGGAAGTGAGAAAAATATTTATTTTTGGGACAAAAACAGCAAAAATGTGATAGAGGATTAACCCTTTCACTACTCAAATAAAAAAGTTTTGTCTGCAGCATACCAGTTCCAAAAACTGTGTATTATGAGCAGCACCTACCCTAACACTGTCCTGTCACCCTCCTCCCCTTGTATGATGCCAGCACCATCTTTTTTCCACCATTGGCTTTCTCTTTGCACATATCAAGCCCACCCCTCCTATGACTCTAAAACTCTGCTCTTAAGCAATCAGAGTGAAGTTCAGTCATCTGAAAACAGATAAAAAATTCAAAATAGAATTATACCATTATTGGCGTAAATAAAGTAATCAACCTGAACATTCAAGCAAAATTCACTTGTGACTACATTTTATGCTTTTTGAGACAGGTTGGGTATCTACTACCTGCAGCTGCTTGCAAATCTTTTTTGCTATATGCTAAGTGTGCCCAAGGCTCAAATTGCTTTTTTTTAACTGGTTTGCCAAAATTACCTGCTGCACTGTCCGATTATCTTCCAAACCTCCTAGCTTTCCCATATAGTGGGAAATTTTAGATCTTATGTCATTAAGCTGGCCATACACTGCAATATTTTTTTTCTATCAGCCTGCAGGCTGATAGAAAAAAATAAAACAGATTTCTCCTTCCATACTAAACAACGTGAATTAACAAATCTCCAGCTGTGTCCTTTGTATTCTGAAAGGAAATGAATGTCACCAGCACACCATTTTTTGAAAATCAATGATCCATTTTAATGGCATATTGCAATCCAAAACAAGCGCTTTTGGGGCCGCACAGGGTCCCCTTCATCAGGCTCAGAATGACACATAGATAACAGGAAACATCAACCTTATATACACATCACACAGTGAAAATACGAATAAGCCACTCCCATACGAAAAATGACATCACCGAATCCATTCCCGCCATAACCAGTTCAAATCTAGATTCACCTTGCCTGTTCAAAGTGCACCTGGGCAAAAGAAGAAAACGGGCCGTTAAACGGCCGGCGTAGGCGGTTGCCAAGGTGATAGGACGCTATCTCAGCCGCGAGCGCCGCCCATCTCGAGTGCGCATGCCAACTGCAGAGGGCGCAGAGTGGATTCCGGCTTGCGTTGCATCGTCGCTGCGTAACGGCCTGCGCATGCGCGTCACGTGTCTCAACAGAGAAGAGGAGGGCAGGGCTGTAAACTGGCACTGTCACTTCGGTAGAATGTGGGACGCACAATGATAGTTGCTTGCGCTTCAGCGACGGGAATGGCGCCTGCGCAGTGCTTGTCCATCTCAAGCATGGGGACCTTGGATTGTACAAAACAGACCGGTCCTATCAAAATATTGACGTTCAATAGGTGGTTTGTGTAGAGCCAATGAGATTGCGCCTCAGAGTATCTAGTATTGCCTATCTCTAATGGTGGAATGGATTCCGTGGGAAAACAACAACAGTGCGAACATTCATAGCAGTATAGGATAACAATGTATTTAGCTCAAATTACTGTATACGAATACAAATAATATATTAGTCAGGCATCAGACATTATTCAGTTCAATGTATAGGTTAACGTCAAGCCTCAATATCAAAAACGCAAGAGCTTTAGCATATTGTTACTCCCATCATTGCCATAATAAACCTCAAAACGATTGCCAGGATGCTCCCAAATAGTACCCATGTACAGGTATCGTGTTATTTTGCTCAATACGCAAGATAACCAAATATAATGACATATATATTAGAAACAGTATTGCACGGCTGCAAATATTAATGGCCAGAAAAAAGGATCAGGACCTTATGTCACAGAGTACCACGGTTGGGAGTAGTCATGGGTTCCGGTCAGAGATTGAGGGGTCGTGATAGTGAGGGGTGTGTGGGGTCAAAATCGTTAAAAACACTATTGGTGTAGTTGCTCGGAGCTGCCAAACTCAGTGTGGCCCACTGAGAACTTAAACCAATCGTAAAATCGAGGGATTACTCACTTGGGTGAGTCCCTAATCTAATTGCTCATGGGATATCTGGGTTATCTTACGTCCAGAAAGCACGATAGTGACAGATTTGAGTTGAGGCCCCTGGGTTGTACACAGTCCAGTGTAAAGATCCAGAAGGCCTCCCTGCGGAGGAGCTGTTTAGCCCTATCCCCTCCCCTAGGATGTGAGTGTATCTGCTCGATCACCATTCCCCTAAGTTCGTGGGTTTGGTGTCTGTTCATGGCAAAATGCATTGCGATCGGTTTATTTAAATCCAATGTCTCATTTTTTTGCATTTTATCAAGCGTGACCCTAATGTCGCTTCTATGCTTTTGAAAGCGGCGTTTAAAGGGGCCAATCGTTTTGCCAATATATACAAGCGAACAGGGACATTTTAACAAATAGACACAGAAGTCCGTATCACAGGTGTAATAGCCCCCAATCTTAAATCGTTTCCCGGTATGTGGGTGTGAGAAATAATCACCACAAATTATTGAATTACAGATGTTGCAATGGAAACATCTGTAGCTCCCTACCTTGTTTGATAGGGTAATCTGCTTCTTCCCATACTTAGACCTAGGATCAGCTTGCATAAGAAGTTTCTTAAGTGACTTACCCTGTTTATGTACATGGAGGGGCCTATTTTTAACACATTGTGTGAGACTTCTGTCTGCATGCAAAATGTTAAGATTAGACGCGGTGGCTTTGTGGATCGCTCTGTTTGCTGTATCGAACGTAAAGATAAATGGGAGTCTTTCCTCAACAATTGGCGCACTCTGTGTGCCACCAAATTTGGTGTACGCTTTCGTCAGTGCGGAGTCTATGACGGATTGCGGATACCCTCTTTGGGCAATCCGTTCAGCCATCTGTTTCAATTGTGATATACGGACATCCTCATCTGAGCAGATTCTCATAACTCTGAGGAACTGGGATATTGGCAGATTATTTTTGAGGTGGTGGGGGTGGGCACTATCATAGCGCAACAGAGTGTTCCTGTCTGTGGGCTTGGTATATACCGATGTACTAATTGTTCCATTGTCAATTATAATTAAAACATCTAGAAAGGAAATTTCATTAGCAGAGATTACAGGGTTAAACACAATCCCGGGAACAAGCCATTAAGAAAATCAACAAAAACAGAAAATTCTTGTTCACTCCCTTTCCATATTAGAAATATATCGTCTATGTATCGAATCCAGTCCATCACATGTTCTGAATATAGTGTGGAGTTATAGACAAAGCACTCCTCTAGGTGACCAATGAACAGGTTGGCGAAGGAGGGTGCTGCTGAACTGCCCATAGCCGTACCCCGTATCTGTTTAAATACCTTGTTTTCGAATGTGAACAGGTTGTGGGATAACGCAAAGTCAAGACATTCACAGATATACGCGATTGGAATGTCATGTGTACCCTCTTTGCATAGGAAATGCTCAACTGCAATAATACCAGCCCTATTAGGGATACACGTGTATAATGATGAAATATCCATTGTTGCCAGTTTGTGTTTGTATTCTGAAAGCGGAGGGTGTGCCAATGACAGAAAATTCAAACAGTGATGGTAGCTTATTGGTTGCCGTCACTGTTCGCCCAAAGATTTTTCAGTGAAAGCTGGCCGAAATTCGCACAGTGTATAGGCATGTGCAGTGGGAGCTGGGTAAATTGATATAAGTAAAATCCCGTTAAAAGAATTTTGGTAATAATTTTGTGCAGCTTTTGTTACCTACAGGTATTGCATTATTACTACTATGCTCCTTTTTGCTAAAAACTATCCAACACAACACAATTATATAAACTTAAAATGTACATAAGTGAAATGGGGGGG